TAGATCTAGAATGTTTTTTTGTGAGTGCATCCACAGAGTAGACACCCAGTCGCAGAATTACTAGGAATTATCATTCTACTCCCCATTTGAACATCCTTTTATCTTCCCCCACCCCACCCACCGCAGTTAGAATAAAGTCCAAATACCTTATCTTGCTTTGCCAGGGGCCAAGACCTGGTCCCTGCCCATCCTTGCAACCTAATTTTCTATCAGCTACTCTTGAACTATGGCCCGAAGCCACACCAGATTTTTGTCCTTAATCCTGCAAACTCATTCTTTACCTTGGGGCTTTGTCCTTGCTCTTTCTTCTTTGAAACACCCTGATAGCAGTGGCTGTCTCTTTGTAAAGTCTTCCAGGTTTAAATGAGCACTCCCAGCCCTTCTTGTCTTGCTGTTTAATTGTAAACCTGGCTTTTCGTTCTCTAAGAAATTATTTTGTCCGCCTCTCTGGAATAAACGAGCTCCAAGTGAGCAAGAGCCCTGTTTGTCTTGTTCCTCACTGAGTCCCAAGAGCTCAGATGAATAAGTACTCAAGGAATATCTGGTGAATGAATGGGGTAGATTTAAAATTATCAAATATGCTGGCCCCCTGTAGTCCCAGCTACTCAGGAGGCTGAGGCGGGAGGATCTCCTGAGCCCAGGAATTCAAGTCCAGTTTGGGCAACATAGGGAAATTCATCTCTAAAAAAAATAGGCTGAGTATGATGGCTTAGGCCTGTAATCTCAGCACTTCGGGAGGCCTAGGCAGGAGGATCACTTGAGGCCAAGAGTTTGAGACCAGCCTGAGCAACATAGTGAGACCCCATATCTAAAAAATTAGCCAGGCTTGGTGTCCCACACTTGCAGTCCCAGCTACACAGGAGGCTGTGGTGGGAGGACTGCCTGAACCTAGGGGTTGGAGTGAGCTGAACTGAGCTATGATCATGCTGTTGCACCCCAGCCTGGGCAACAGAGCAAGACCCTATCTCTAAAAGTAAATGAATGAATGAATAAAAAAATAAAATTATTATATAGGCTGCCAAATTGCTTTCCAGATAGAGTCACCAGTTTTCAGTGCCACTGACAGTGACTGTTTTGAACACCCTCTTCAGCACTTAGTACTATCCAGCATTTATTCTGATCATAATTGTCCTCTTCAAAGGTCAAGAAATAGGGACTTATCACCCATTTTGGAGTCATTTTTCTTAACACATGGTTAAACTGAAGCCTTTTTAGACAAAAATAAGACTTATCCTTGCAACCTTTCCTGGATTTTTTCCACTCTTGATTACTTTCTCACTTCCCTGTTTTTTTTTTTTTCCATTTATTTAATCAACCATTCACTTTCCAAATATTGATTGCTCACACTGCCAGGCCCTCTGCTAATAGTTCTCTCTCATTTGGTCACACCTACCTTCCAGTACAATGCTGCCAAGCATTCTAGCCTGGCCCTTACCTTCAGATTCCTTCAGACTTGCTTCTAGAATGGCAACCTTTAGACAGAGAGAAGACAGTCCATGGGTAGACTTTTTGGGAGCGTCAACTTATATATAATTTGCTGATCGTCCATCAGTCTAGCCCTTGGATTTATGTGATATTGTACTGGATTTTTAAAACGTTTTCTCTTTCTTTATTACACTTTCTTCCTTCTTTACAGAGATGTTTCTCCCAGTTCCCACTTTTCAGGGGTTAGAGGCACCTAATCAATGAAAATACCTTCTCTGTAGACTATGGGGGAGATGCTCCCAGAAAGAGAATTTTCTTTCTGGTCCTCGTGTCCACCTAATTTTAAAAGCATGTGTTCCTTATTATTTTTTAAGTTTACAATGACATCATTAGATACCTCAATGACTCGTATTTCATTTTTCTTACCTTTTGGGGGAAACCATTGAGGGCACTGAAGGGATAGAAGTGGTTCTCCCTCTGGGAAGAGAAAGAGGGGTGTGTTACCTCCTTTATCTCTCTAGGGGTCTGGCAAAGGCTACGTGCCTAATGGGGTGGATATGCGGAAGCTGAGGTTAAAACAACGTTGCTGCGAGGCTGGGGGTTCAGTAGGGTCAACATTACATTCAGCTCTCTCCTCAACCATTATTCTGTTCTGCCTACAAGTACAATCAATGAAGCAAAATTCCTCATGCATACAAATAAAGTTTTTGCATTGGACCAGTTGGTCCGGTTCTCCTGTCTGTTCATTTCCTTACCCACTTCGTCTCTGTTCATTAATTCTCCCTTTCCCAGTACCCAAACCCTCCACCTAACCCTTCTCCCTGCCCTTCCCTCCACTTCCGGCTACTAGCCTCTCTGGACCTCCCACCATCCTCATCCTCGGCGCGCCCCGTGCACACCAGATTGCGGAGCTCCGCGGGGCTCGGGGCCTGGCTTGGTCGGGATCCAAGCTAGAGCCCCGGGGTGGGGGTGGGGGGGTCCCGGAGCGTTGGCGAGGGGATGGGGAGCGCATTCCCTTCTCTTGTGATCTCAGCGCAAATTTACCCAGCTCTTGCGAGAGAACGGGCAGGTTTCCCTATTTCCCAATCGTCTGCTCGCCCGGCTCTCGGGGCCACGCGCCGCAGGGCTGCGCCCCGCACGCTGCCACTTCATTCAAAGGCCGGGCTGGGCGGCCCGCGAGGCCGGGGTCGGGGGACGTGGGTGACCTCCGGGCCACTTCCTCCCTCCGCTCCTCCGGCCACCTTCGCGTAAACAAAACCGCCCCCAGGGCGGGGAGAGGTCTCGCTCTTGCGCGCAGTCCCTCGCAAAGGGTTAATTTTCCAATCGCACGAGGGGGAGGAGATTTCCCCGTAGACGAGTAAAACGGGTGATGGACAAACGTGCAGGCACTAAGACCGCAAGGCATTCATTCCCTCCCACGGTGGATGCGGACGCCGGGAGGAGCGCAGCCCCGGAGCGAGGAGCTGGGAGCCGCGGCGCAGGCAATGCTCGGCCCTGGATGTAGCTGAGAGGCCGGCACGGACCGACCGCCGGAGCCCGAGCGGCCGGGGGAAGACCTGGGGGGCGGGCGGGGGACGCGGACAGGAGAGAGCACCCGAAACCAAGCGCTTTACAGATTATTTTATTTTGTGTAGAGAACGCGTAGCGACTCCGAAGATCAGCCCCAATGAACATGTCAGTGTTGACTTTACAAGAATATGAATTCGAAAAGCAGTTCAACGAGAGTGAAGCCATCCAATGGATGCAGGAGAACTGGTAGGTGATGCTTTCGCCTGACACTGTTCCCGGGCGCCCTCCCGTCGGTCTCGCCCGTGCGCGGGGCGACGGGGCGGCGGGCACCGGGGCTGCGGGGCGCGCGGCCGGTGGGTGCCCCGTGCGAACCGCGGCTGCACAGGCGTCTTCTATGTAGATTATATAACGTAGAACATGTGTGTGCATGGAGGGATGTGTGCGCGCCAGGCGAGGCGGGAGAGATGCCGCGTCCGGATACCCTACCTTTGCTGCCTCCTGGTTTTCTACCTACATTTGGGTTTTCTTGCGTGGCCTCCCACAGCCGGAGTGTGGAAGGCGGTGCGGGGGGGAACCCGGCTCCCGAGCCCTGTAACCCCCTCCCGCCCGCCGCCCCCGGCGCTGGTCCTCGCCCTCTCCCCATCCCTCGTGTCCTTCCTTTCTCCTTGCCGCTCCCCTGCTTCGCTGTCCTCCTCTGCGCGCCGCTCCCCGGCCGGATGTCCCCTTTCCGGGACCCCTGTCCCCACGCGGATCCCTTTCCGGTTTCATAAAGAGACGGGGTGGGAGGGAGGAGAGGAGGGACAATGAGAACTGTAATAAATGAATGAACCCGGGCGAGTGGAGCCACGCCATGATTAAGTTTCTGTTTTACGGAAACGCCTTTTGGACACACTCACTCGCGATTCAGCGCCAGGCTGCTGCCTGGAGCTCAGGCACGACTCCCGGGGGCTCCTCCCCGGGAAAACTTGCCATCGAGGGCGACACCTTTCTTGTTTACTGCACTCCCTCCGCCAGTCCTTTTGAAAATCCCTGGGCGAGAGGCGACCCAGTGTCACCATGCAATATTTAACAGGGGCGGGGGTGCCCATCTCGCGTCTTCCTTGTAGACGCAGCTGTGGCGGAGGCATTCCCCTCCTCCTAACCCCGGCCCGGCGATCGGCGAAGGGCAAGCCCGGCGCACCCCGGAGCGGGCGGTGGCCGGCGGCCTCGGGGGGCTGGAGCGGGGAGGGTCCGGGCGCCGGGATCCCGCCCGCCGCGTGCGCGCGCCCCCCTCTCCTCAATGGGAAAGGGGGCACGCTGGCGCTCCGGGGACCCAGAGGGTTGGTGCAGCAGGAGGGGGACGCCGCGGGCCCGGAGCCCAGGGGAGGGGTCAGCTTCCTCCCCGGTCCCCGGGAGGCGCCACCGCGGCCCCCACCTCCTCCCGCGCGGCCCGCGCGTGCTCGCCCGGCTCCCCGCGGCCGCCCGGGCCCCCTGGCGGATTGCGGCGGCAGCCGGGCGGGGCGCGCCCCCTGGGCCGCGCGCAGGCGGGGCCGGGCCTGCTCGGGGCGGCTGCGCCGCGGCTGGTGGCGGCGGCGGGCGAGGGGGACGCGGCCGCTAGGAAGGACGGGAAGCGCGACGGGCACGTGGCGCGCGGGGCTGGGTCCGGAAGGCGTTTGTGTACCGCGGGTCTCGATCCCGGGGGAGATCAGACTTGAGGAAGCCGAGCCCCTCGGGCCCCGCTGCCCGGGGACCTTCTTGACGCGCACTTCCTCCCCCCTGCGGAGGGTGGCGCTGAAGGCGGGGAGGGGGCGGTGGCCCGCGCCGGAGCCGCTCTGCTGGCCAGCCTTGGGCCCGGGTCCTCCCTGCAGCCGTCTGTCACGCCGGCTCCCCGCGCGGCCCGGGCCCTGTCCCTCCCCACGGGCCTGCGCGCTCTCCGTTTTCCAGTGTCTGCGCTGCCCCCAGCTTGCTGCGTCCTGGTCGAACCTGCCTTTCCGGAGCCTGCCTGCCCTGGCTCTGCCGCTGACCCCATTCACTGCCCGCGCCGCGGCGGGCGACACTGCCTCTTATTTGCTTGTTGCCTTTTCTCGGAGGCGGCCTCTCGTGCCTGCTCCAGGTGCCACTTCCCGCCTCTTCTCTGCATTCAGTGAGTACTCACTGAGCCAGGCAGGTTCTAGCTCCCAGGGGACCGAAAATGGCAAACATGCGCCAACTTATCTTCCATTGAGCTCTGACCGGTTCCCTCCTAGCTCTTTATCTGACCATTCTTCTGGCAATATTTTCTCCTGGCTTTTATTTATATACCTGTGTATTTACACACAGACCGTCAGCTCTTTAGGGCATGGTTCTTGTCTTGCTCCACTCTGGATTTTGCAAAGCACCTGGCAGATGCTTGGGAAACCGCTTGTGCGGTCAGTGAAAAGGTCGATGGGTGCCATTGTATCGCCAGCACTGCTTGTTACCTGTTAATGCCAGGTTTACAGGCTTGGCCTCCCTCTGCGTTTTGAATGCCGTGTCAGTCACATCTTGAGATTTTTTTTTTTTTCTTTCCTGGCTTCTGCTCTCTCTGTTGACTTTATGGTCTTGGATTGCATACAGTGGTCAAAGAACTCTGTAGGCTGTTATCCCTTCCTTGAAACTCTGCCTGACCCTAATTGTCTTGCTTTCTTGTTTTATCCCAGACTTTGTGTATTTCTTCCACTAATCCTGGGAGCCCAATTTTATATATTCTCCTCCCTGCCCCCCAAAACCCTACAGCCAGAAAGTCTTCAACAAGATTTTCATTTCATTCCCTTGTTAACTCCATAACCAAGGCTTAGAGCCTCTTGAGGAGAGGGGGATGTTAGGAGACCCCGAAATTTTAAGCCTTTTCCAGACTCATTAACATAAAATGGTTTGAAGTAGCTTGTGGAGGAAAAACACAATGTAGTGAAGATTCTTCTGTGTCTTTTAAGAATTTATTTGTAGTTGTCTTAAAAAATGTCTTAGTATGAAACACAACTTAATAATTCAGGGGTAATTTTTATAACCTTATCTCGAACATGAGCTACATTGGCTTTGGAAGAATTGCGAGGAGGGGGCCAGGAGTGGTGTTTTGCCAGCGTGTTGTCTGCACTGACTAGCATCGTTTAATAGGACCTAAAGTAAGGGTAGTTTATTAAACGTACCCCACATTCCATACTTGTTAACCATAGCACAAACTAATGGATTGGGGCCCCATTTTTGGACTGGTGTTTGTGTAAACACTAAAGGGTTCAACTGGGGCTATCTCTCAAGTTTATTGTTGCTTTAGTGAATGATTAACCTGCTACTCACTGACCTAGACATGAAATAAATACCGTAGACTTTTACCTTGCCAGCACGGTTCCGTATATAATAGATTAGAATAACAATCGAAATACAAAGTAATAAACATAGTCCTTTGGAGAATCATCCTGAGCTTCATTTTGAAACTACATGTCCAGTTAAACATCTCCTGGGTAATGTTATCTGGTAAATGAGAGTTCATTACATGAGGTGGAGGAAAATGCTTTTGCCTCCAAACAGCGTTTTTCAGTTCCAGTTTTACACTGAAAAGCCCTTGTGATTTTACAACGTTGAAAATAGAGACATTTTGTTCTTTTATGAGATGCCTGGCCTTTACCTGCTATTCTCAGTAACAGCCGACTTAATTTAGAAGTGCTTTTCTAGTAAGGAGCAAACGCACCTAGTGATTGGTAAGGTGACATGAAATCCCTCGAGTGGGAAGGGACGCGGGGCTCTGGCTGCCTCTGTCAGCCGCTGCCAGGTCTATGCTAGCAGCGCTGCATGCTGGCTGCTCCAGTTGTAGCTGTCTGGCCAATGATGATTATCTTCTGATGTCGGCTGACACGGTGCTCACCAATAGGAAGGCGGGAGGCCTGTGCTGACTGCTGCAACATTCTGTATGTGAGGTGACGTCTGCAAAGGGCTTGCCCAGGACCTCGCGAAACCCTCCCCCCCTCTCCTGGCATATTCCCCATATCCAGCCTTGCAATGCTTTGTATATCTTTCTAACTTTCTCCCCTCTCTCCCTGCAATGACAGTTATAAAAGGACTTTATTGTTTTTGTATTTTGCATTCTGTATTTTAGAGTCTATAAGATAGTATAAGACTTTTTAGAATTAAATACTGTCCAGCAGAGGAAATCTTTTTATTCACAAATTTGTTTTTTACCAAAGGGGAAAAAAATGGAATGAAAGACTTTAAAAAGGAATTGTACCTTTATATGTTGTTTCTTATATGTGGGGTTTGGAAAGTAACACAGGGTACAATTTCAGGATTAAAGAACATAATAGAGCGTTATAAACCTCTATTAGTATTTTACTTAAAATATAGCAGCGTCATGTGAATGAAACTTTTCAAATGCAGACATGGTATTCAGCTGTTGTTTTTCCCCTAGTGAAGATTGCTTTCAATTGCCCCCTGAAATCTTCCTTGTGACCTTCTGGGTGCATTTGTAAGACAAATGGCTGGAAGACAGTGCAGTCTGTGTCCATGGAACACAGTAGGCAGAGTTTCATTTGATCATTAACATTACTGCACATACAAATTTGGTCAGCTGTCTAGGAAAGCACTGTGTCTGTATTTTACTCATGTTGTTTGCTGTTTATTTTGGAGAATCACAGTTCATATTAACTTTAGGACTGAAAAATCCTAAATGTGAGAGACTTAACATGTCATCCAATAACCTCAGAAAGCACTGGGATACAGCTGTAATATGCATTAGGTGAAGAGTGAGAAGGGTGAGAAAATGTATATAGAAGAAAAATGTGATCTGTTTCGGTCCTAGAAGATAATGAAAAGTTGTGCTAGAACTTTGAACTTTCATGTATCTTTTAAGAAGTGACAAATACTCATGCAATCCTTGTTTGTTTAGGATTCCCAAGGATGAAAGCCAGCTTAATGCAGATCACTTTATGATTATATTATCCATCTATACATTTGCATTAGTTATAGATAGTATACGGCGATAAAATTTTTACAAAAGGGCTTCCGTTAAATTGAAAGTTAAATTTTGTGGTCTCCAGAAGATTACCTGTTGCTTTCATGTTTGATGATGATGATTCTAAAAGTGTCAGGATATAGCATTGGAATTTAACTACAAAGTCAACCCACTCTGTATCTTTACATGCTTTCTTGAAAGAAGAATCTTTCAGCTTAGATAGTGGAAAAGCTATGAGGTGAGTGGAGACTTAGAAATACTTAGGAGGATATAAAGTAATGAATTAGTTTTTAGCCAACAAAGGAGAATGAAGTGTGTGGCACGATTCTGGCAATTCGAGAATTCATCTTTGCTTCAGCGATCTGGAATATTTCAGGTCCAAGTATTTTCTGAAATGAGTTATCCAGACATTGCCTTGACTTAATTCTTCACGTGTGGACACAGGTGAGCTGAACTGTCCTCTGGCGACAGGAGCCAGGCATCGGTTCACCAAATGTGCCTCAGCTCTGCCTTTGCTTCCTACCTGTCCTAGTCCCTCTATTCAAACCCACCTGCTCCCATGATTCATTTTCCATTTACCTTTGTTAGGAGAGCTCAGGCATTTATGTAGGAAAGTCACCTATGCCACATATATTATTTCGTTGATAATCATAGGAGATCTGAGTTAAACTATAACATGACTTTAACGTAATGTTAAGGCTCATAACGTCATTCCTTTATTCTGATTGTACGTGTATACAGGCAGCTACGAATGTTGGCACAGTTATTCAGATTTCAGAGAATGTTTAAAAAACAGCATCTCTAATTATATTTCACCTCCAATAATTTATTTTAGAAATGGATTAGTCCTCTCTTTAAAAGTATTGCCTGAGAGTAAAGAATGTGTAATTTTAAATTGGTTGTGCAAGAGTCAACCCAAAGCAGAGGACTGTGTAAGTCATCTAAGTTTAAGCTTCTGTATTTGTCATGACTCATTTCTATATTGAGCATTCATGGTTTTTAGTTTTAAGGTTCCTTGTTCCTAGTCTACAGGAATGACAAGTGCTTTTTTTTTTTTTTTTTTTTTGAGACAGAGTCTCGCTCTGTTGCCCAGGCTAGAGTGCCGTGGCGTCAGCCTCGCTCACAGCAACCTCACACTCCTGGGCTCAAGCGATCCTCCTGCCTCAGCCTCCCGAGTAGCTGGGACTATAGGCACGCGCCACCACGCCTGGCTAATTTTTCTATTTTTAGTAGAGACGGGGGTCTCACTCTTGCTCAGGCTGGTTTCAAACTCCTGAGCTCAAACAATCCGCCCGCCTTGGCCTCCCAGAAAGCTAGGATTACAGGCGTGAGCCACGCAAGTATCTCTTGTCTTACATTTTTCACTAATTGGATCCTGAACACTTACGACCAGGCTAACTTCAAAAAGCCCCATTAGCTTTACTGGATATAACGAACATTAAACTGTATAAATACTTCAATCATTAAGAATTACTGTTTTCTGAATATCACTTGTTTAGTATCTAGCAACATTTTTATGATTGCAGCAAGCCATGACACTTTTAATGATATTGCTGTCGTAAAATATTCACAATCTCATGTAAAACAAACTGTGATACACAGATTTGGAACATTTCTTATAAAGCTTTAGCCTGTGAAATTCTGTCTGCTTCTCTGTGATATTAACCTCCTACACTCAGTTTGGTTCTTCACTCTGGGAGTTTGTTTCTACCAGGTGCTGTCTGCAGCCAGGCGTTCCCCTGGCAGGTTTTTGTAGCTCCTTGTGAACAACCACCCACTGTTGATAGTAAAACAAAAATGCGTGGGTTGGGGATGTCCCTATTCTTGGAGGCCTGGTCCTATGATGTGAAGAATTGAAGAGTACCTTTTGTTTGGCTTTATTAGTTTTAAGTTCTTTTCCAGATTCTAAAGTAAGGTATTTATTCTAGGAAAAAGAAATGAAAACATGAAAAAATAAAGATGCAGGGGAAAAAAAACACCTTTAATTTGTATCCAGAAGCAACCACTGTTAATGTCTTGCCACATTCATCCTTGTTTCCAAGTTTTTAAAACATGCTTCAGATCATTCAGTGCGTAACAACAACGGAGTTCTCTGTTACGTGCCAGGGACTACACTGGACACCTGATGCTTATTTACTTACTTACTTTATTTATTTTATCGAGACAGGATCTCTTGTTCTCTCTCTGAGATTGGAACTCCTGGGCTCAAGCCATCCTCCCACCTCGGCCTCCCAAGTAGCCAGGATATAGGCGTGGACCACGACACCCGGCTAGTTTTTGTATTTTTCGTAAGGGGAGGGGTCTTGCTCTAGCTCAGGCCAGTCTCAAACTCCTGGCCTCAAGCGATCTTCCTACCACACCTTTCCAAAGTGTGGAGGATTAGGAGATTGAGTCACTGGGCCCAGCCCTATTGTCTTAATTTATATTTATTATTTGAATTCTAGAGAAATTCAAAAATTTTCCTTGTATTTTTTATTCGCTCTTACAAATTATCTGCACCTGTCCTTTGCTAATTAGCTTATTTGTTTCCACTTGGGAGGTATTAAGAATATTAGCCATTTGTCCAGCATGACGAGTGCAAATAACTTCTCCAGGGTGACTTCTGTGGCCTCTAATGCACTTTCTGCAGTTGGGAACAGATCTAGCAACTAGTATATGAAATAGAAATGTATTTTCCATCACCAACTAAATTAATAGGAACAACCGTTTGTCTCTTTATAAATAACCTTTAGGTCAACAGTCTTAGGAGGAGTGGAGGGAGAAGAGAATGAGACGGGGCTCTGCCTGTTGGATCCATCCAGTAATATGGGTAGAGAGGGATTAGTTTCTTTGATTTCCTGTTAGTGTTTGGACTTACTTATTAATTTTCAGGTTCTCGCAGGTGTGGTAGTGAGCGCTCGCCGTGGTACCGTAGTGCAGTGTAGAGCCAGTGTGGCTGGATCAGGGCCCGGCTCCAGCAGTGGAGGTTCATGAGCAGGTTCATGAGCTTGTCTTTACTTCAGGTCCCTCATCTCCAAACTGGGAGAAGATGATATAACAGTATCGGGGATGATGAAGATAACGATGATGAACCCTACCCACCTACCTGAGCAGGTTATGAAGATTAAACGAGTTATTGCACATTAAGCCCTAAAAGAGTACCCAGCACATACACTGTTATCGTATCGTTGTTGTCGTCTGCGCCATAGACAGCGAGAGCGACGGATCAGGAGGGAAAAGGGAGGCTGGCTGGAATAAGGAATTCCTGAGGAAACCCCAGAGGGCCACACAATCTCGCCTTCGAACAGGACATAAAGAGCCACATCATGCAGGAGCCGCTGACGAGGAAGCTACTAAGACGTCAACTCGGTCCTCAGACCCGTGATGTGCTTTGAGAGATCCTGGCAGGAGAAACATCGTTAATAGAAATGCGGTTTAGTAGGAATTGTGGGGACCCAGTTGTATTGTGAACATTCGGGAACATTTTCAGACGCTCTGCTTTACCTCCCGTCACATGTGACACAGTGTGATGTACAGGCGGTAGGCACTGATTGCTAATTTATTTTCTACAAAACACCTGAGGTTATCTCCTTCAATAATTTATTCTGCAAAAGTGTATGCTCCGTATGTTGGATACACTAAGCACACTAAAGATAAAATTACTCTGTCAATCAGTGAGATGATGGTGGCTGAACATTCTGGAGTTGTGAACTCGAAAGTTTATGCTTCCAGTAAGTCTTTGGCCACTGTTC